TAATAGTAATGTAAAATAAAAATAAATGGGAGTAATATATTAATCAAGATTCATGATAAGAAGAAGTAATGCCTGATAAGCCCAAGCTAATATTACTCGTACATACAAAACTGGCCAGATATCAAAATCGTGACGGTTCAAACATTTTTGGACATTTTCTTGCTTTAGATTAGAACTAGTGAGAACAATGCCTAATCCGTCAGAAGTTTTCCATTTGACAGATAACCAACAGGATGCAGACAAAAAAATATTAACACCATTCAAAAACAAAAAAATTAAATTTCTAAGAAATCCAACATTTCATTCTTTTGCTTGGATTTCCTATACTCGTGATGATCTATCGCCTCATCGTGGCGCATGTTGACTCCGGGTGTCGAACTGCGAAGTACGGCATAAGATTGCTTGGCTTTCTGGATGCCCAGTTAGGAGTAAGCCCTGCTCTCTGGATAGGTCAGCTTGCCCGTTGTAAAAGCTTAGCGCGCCCAGCAAGACTGCTATTTCGGGTAAAATTTTACCGTTTGTACAGCATGTAGAAGAAGAAAGCTCTGCACACTGAATTCCTCGCGTCGGATGACATCAAGTCTAGTATCAGGTTGAGCATGACGCCATGGACATTGGACCAAAAGGATACGTCAACGGCTACCATGGAGATTGTTTCATGCTTTACATCTAAAACGCTAGGACAGCCTCCAGACGCCGACCTCTACGCCCTTCAAAGATGCACGACGCACCAGTTACCTCGTAATCGTCGTGTAAACAAAGTCCAAGGGACTTGAGGCAGCTGGGTGATGACAAACTCATCATTTGTGTTGAGAAAACATCGTGGAGAGTTGAAGGAGTTGGATTTGCCGTATACTCATCATTCCTTGTCGACTCGCATGAGATCCTACAATCTCTGGCTATCCTTCCCCTCCGTCCTCTCCATCAAGAAATCAGCACTATCATGAACTGCTCTTCTCCAATATCAGCAACTGATGACTGGTGAGAACGTCCGAAGTCACTACGACGAACTTACAGAGAGTTCCTTCTATGAGTTCATCGTGGGTTACTTCAATGCGAAAATCGGGATGCCAGAAGAAGGGGAACATAAGATCGGGAGATTTGAATCAAGACTCCGGAATGAGAATGATAACCGTCTTATCGGGCTTCATTCGGCGCACGGCTTTTTCATAGTAGCTTCATCTTCACGAAGAAAGAGAACCGGCAATGGATTAGGAGTCACTCATGTTACTTATACAGAGATCAACCACATTCTCACCAATCCAAGTTGGTGCTTGTTGGATGTGTCAGCGTTACCATCTTTCAGCAGTGGTTCAGCCCACGATCTTTCGAGCAAGAATGT